GGGTTGTTTGTTGTCATCGATCAGAATAGATGGGATTACTGTAAATGGTCACAAAAACACCATTTAGATCATTAGTGCGGTCAAGTTAGATTATCTATTCAAAGGGCAAATCTCCTTTTTGTGAATGACTCTGGCAGTGTTGCTGTTAAATCCTGATCAGGATTTTATAGGCCTAACCACCACAATGTATCTGACTCCACGCAGGAAACTGAAGGAAGTCACTGCTTTACTGAGATTACATGGATCAAGATTCGTCTGCGGGCCATAACACAAGGTAGCTTTTATGTTTTTTACGTAAACAATAAAATGTCTGACTCATTGTTTTGGTTGTGAGGGATTACCGAAACATCCCTCAGCAGGAAGCCACCTGATGAAAGACCTTCATCATTAGACATCAGACACTAAAGTGTCTGTCCTGGGCATTTCTTTAGTAATAATGCGCATTGTTAGTGAGCTCTTTGTAAAGTCCTCTGTTTAAAATGAATATACAAGTACAAGAGGAAAACAGATCATTTTAATTTTACAATGTTGTTGTATATCTGCATCAGTGAAGTCGGCAATATGATGCTGAAGTCAGTAGAAACTCTCAGGTGCTTATTGAGGTTATTCAAGTGTGGCTGGTACCTTTTATCACACAATCCCCAATTACACTTTCTGCAGGTGAAGACAAATGCCCCACTCTAACGTCTGTCCATTAAATATGAATCTGCAGGGAGTAGACAGTTAGCCTAGATAGCATAAAGCAGAGGCTCACTGATCAAGAAGCTATATCTTGTTTGTTTAGTCTGTAGAAATCAGCTAGATAGAGCCATCTCTGCCCCCAAATACACTGAGCTAAACTAAGCTAAGCTACTGTCTGCTGGTTGTATATTTATGCCAGCTACTTCTAAGTTTAGTAATAGGCTACTGCACAATTACCAATAACATAAGAATAACAATAAGTGTAGCAACAGCATGAGCAAATAGAAGGGCTCTCGCAGAACGCAGACCTCAACTAAGGCCAAATGCCAGATAGTCAGTCATTCTGTTGCATGCAGTGAGACACTCAGTACACACACACACACACACACACACATGCACGGAGAATTGCAGATACTAGTGCCAGGTCTTTTCAATCAGAGTTTAATGGGGTGCAAAGGAAGTAAACCATGGTCGATATGAATGACCATCTGTAAAAAGACTGAGTCATATGAACTCAAGCTATTACTGGAAGGCTTACACTGCTTCTCCTCATCTCTTCTCATGTGGAACATGAATGGATACATCTGTCCAGGAGTCTGCTAACTCACATGTCATGTCTTCTGTGGTCCATTTTTTATAGGATTATAAGAACATCAGGAATGCGTAAACCAAGTGTGCACGCAAACATACAAATACTGTAAACTACAAATAGCAATCTGGAAGCACTTGCAAGTTTGCATACACACACATTTGCACTCTTTGTTTATTGCTATGGTTTTTTTTCCAACTTTACTTTCGGTGTGACCAATCAGATATCAGGGTTACGTTATGAAGAAAAGTATTAAAAAATAATCTAGTCGTTTTACTCTTCCGAAGAGACAGTCAGAGTTGTATGTGTCCACCTGACAGGATCAAATACATCCACCTCCCAGTCTTTATAAAATGAAACATATGTCATGATTTCCATATTGTCACATCCTTTTGAAGATCTCTCTAAAGAGGCAGAATCAGATGTTTGCTCGGAAACCGTCAGTAGACCCCAGCGCTGTTTGATCTCCACAAACGCAGCCACTTTAAAGTGGAAATGTACAGATGTGCCGTAGTATCCGTATCGACAGGGGTCACTGAAGTCCATAACGGGCTTCAAACAGACTCCCCTTTCATAGAATAAAAGAATTAATACTTTTGAAAGACATTAACATGTTGGAGTTTGTTGGTTACGGATCACTCTGAATTTCAACAGTTTCATTCTTTAAAAGATAATGTTATACGTTTTGAATGAGTTATTACACAGCATGTTTTACAAATACTGAATTCAGTTAAAATGTTAATTAATGAATGAATTCATATTAAAACATCAACAGCAAGAAGTGGACTTTTTACGATTGTTGAATCTATTTGGAAAAAAAGCAAATGTCCAATTTTTTCACAATGTGTCGTCAAAGCTTAAATTAACGTTCCCTTTCAAACTAAATAACTATCAATTAAAACAGGAGTCATCACTATGAAAGAACAAATCTAAACTAAAAGGGTATCACAGCTTCTAGTAAAATAAATGAGTTCAACTCATATGATGAGACAAGGTTTTACTCATCCCCCCCACGCTAGTGTGTCATATGGTTTTAAGTTATGAAAACACTTTGCTCATGAACCGCAGACTTCATCCCACATTTAGTATGAGAGAAGAGCTGAAATATGTGGTTTCACTTAACAGCAGTCAACAGGTCCTTTGCCTCAGACATACGTAGCCTAATGCTACACAGAGCTAGAGAGGATGATGTATGTTGGATGAGTATATATAAAAAATAGCCTCTGTGGGGGTTGTGGGGAATGGAAATAAAGGAAGTGTGTGTGTGTGTGTGTGTGTGTGTGCGTGCGTGCGTGTGTGTGTGTGGCTGCACACAGATGCCCCTCTACAAATTGCATTTTCTCCACCTCTTTGGACATTAAAGAGGAAGCAGCTGCAGGTGTTCTTTTTACATTTCTACAGATGCACAACAAAGATGAACACACGCACATGCACACATGCACGCGCACACACGCACACGCACACACACACGCAGGCATCACATTGGTTTTGCCTCTTTCATTGTGATCTGGGAGCCCCTTGGACGGATTTCCTTCAGACAAAAGTAATTTCAAGTAGGCTGTGTAAGAACGATGGCCATATCTTCACTACTCTAACAACATGTTTGGACAAATTCACTTTTTTTCAAGGACCGTCACTGGTCAATTTTCAAATTCAAAATAAGTGGAATCTGAATTTGGATACATTCAAAGTAATGTAGACCCATGCATTTGCAGTAGTATTCTTCAATTGCACATTTGCACGCCATCTTTTAATAGTTTTTAAAATTCGCAGTTAAAACTTGTAGATTCTCTGAGAAGGCTAGTGAGAGTAGAGCCTGAATGCTGCTGTGTTTCTTCAAGGTTACCCTTTTTTCAGTCTGGGAATGAAATAGAATGGGGGCAAAAAAAGGTCAACAAGTTTAAATTGAATGAGACATTCAGGAGAACCAGCCACATCCGGAAGTCTTTAGATCAGTGGATGCTGGAGAGACATCACTCACAAAGTCTGTATCTATAACTGTGTCTGCTTCTTTTCTGCCTTCTTGTCTGTGTTTTGTCCTTGCACCCTCCATCCTCGCTATATCTTTCTGCCTCCTCTTTCTCTTTCAGTGTTTCAAATTGCAACTATAGCACAGAGATGTTACAGCATTAATGTTTAAAGACAGAGAACGAGCAGAGAATCGCACATCTGGTTAAAAAAAAGCAAGTTTGTCCACTAGGAGGAGCGTGAACAGGGTCCCGTTAAAAACCATGGGTCCTAATTACTTCAGTGGACAGAAACACTGCAGAACTGGCCAATAAAAATGGATATTTTAAGACGCTGAAGTGCCTGTATTGCGCTTTGCTATTTTCATTTTCTATGTTAACTGGGTAAATGTTGTCCTCCCCATATCACCAAAGACATTTATTAAACTCTATTAATTAATACGATTTTCACAGTCAGTGACTTCACAGCTGTGAGGTCGTCTTGGACTGCTGATATCCGTCTTTCCAGACATTCCCGGGCCTCATCACCACTTTTCCAGCCTGTTCTTTTGTCTGCAAAAATCTAAGCCCCGAAGTCGTTCTTTGCGTCAACAAACCGTCCTGTATTTACTCAGACGTCTGACAACACCAACATGTGTTCGCTGCCCCCGTGTGAACCAGGATTTTGACGGCACCGGAGCATAGAATCGGAGCGCATAGATCCGCCTTCAACTGCAAATCAAGGGTCAGGGATTCTGGTTTGAAGCATTCCACACTGGTATCCAAGTTTCACGAGATATACATTCATAACTTAGTGTATGTTGGTACATCCTTGTGGGTGTATAACACGTAATTAATGACAATAATATACAAAACAAGAATACAACGTTCATACATTATGAAGAGAATACTTTTCCCTCCCACTTTTCAAACAAACGCAACTAAATCCAAAACCAAGTTGTTTTCAACGCAATCTTTTACCCAAATAATGTGCACAAAATGTTGTTTTTTGAACTATTTGCCACCAAAACATAATTGGGCTTATTTATAGGCTACAATTTTCTTTATTGAGCCTAAATATGGATGAGCAGTGTTTGCTCCTGTCATGGCTCCATGAGGGTCACCAAACTATTGAGGCTGCTCTTTATGCTTCCTTATAAATGTATGTGGATTATCAGATTATACAGTGGGCTATGTTTGGTTATGTTGAGTGGCTTGCGCATGAAGTCTGCGGATCTTCATGAAAAGGTGGAGCTCTGTGGTCTCCGTGTCTGTGCTGTGATCAAACGCAGAGTAAAGCGCTGTTATTGCGGGGTTTTCTCGTGCAAATGCCCCCAGTTTGTCAGGCATTAACTACCAGGGCATGTTAATCTATCCACGGGATCTCCACTGGCACCCTTGATTGCCCGCAGGCCTCCTATGGGGTGGCAACAGGAGACCACATCGGTCTGTGAAACTGAAAATAAAAAAGTCCACTGTGTATTGAAATCAGGGCTACATGACATTATGTATCGGTCTATTCATGATAATAATAATGATAAACGGGCTATTGGCGTTATAGTTGTAATAGTCTACAGGACTCCACACCTTTATTGACATGAATGAGGTGAATGGAGATTTGCTCATCGCGTGGGCGGGGTGGTTTTTAATCAGATTACTGCTGTGTGTGCGTGCATGTGTGTGTGCGCGCGTGTGTGGTGGGGGAGAGAAAAAGAGAGAGAGAGAAAAAGAGAGAGCAGATACAGTGAGGTCTTGGCAGACAGACTGAGCATGTGTGCAGAGATCTTTGGCTTTTAAAGTCCAACTCGGCGATGCAGTTTGTTCATTCACACCAGACTCATCTTCACCAACCACACAACTAATCTTTTTTTTTTATTTTATTTTTTATTTACTCTATTCTGTCTCCCGGTGCGTTTGACTCGTGCGCTTGCCGGAACAGTCTGGCTTGAAACCTTAACACTTTTGGATAAAACTCGTGCAAACTTTTGCAAAACATCGCGGAAAAAAAGAGGCAGTGCGGAGAGAGAGCAGTCCAGTCCGACCGGCAGTGCGGAGGGTAATGTGACCCTGCGTAAACTCCGGTGACCACCTCTCCCTCTCCCTCACTCTCAAACACACGTGAAAACAGCAGCAGCGCGTCCATGCCCGGGGGCTCTGGCCAGCATGACTCTGCCCGGCGGTTTGTCGGATGCTTGTCGGCTCATTTTACGCGACCGCATGGAGCCGGAGCTGTGGATGTAGGCAAGCCTATACCTCATTCACGCTTTCCGGTGGAATAGCTGCTGCTGCTGCAACACGTTGCGAAGCGAACACAAGCTGCCGCGCACACTTTTGGAGAGAGCTACGATGCGGGGCACTTTGGGCGCATTCATTCAGTCCTGTGTGATACTGCTGGTCCGAGCAGACCAGTGGAGGTTGAGGGACTCCGACAACTGCGAGCTTAACAAGAAAGTAAGTCATTTTGAAGCCACAATTAATAAGTAATTACACTATAATCTGTAATATCAGCTGTAACTTATTATCTGTACCTCTGAAACCTGCCACATTTTCTGATATTTTGCAGTATAAAGTGTCAGTAAAGGAGCCATAAAGTGCCATTTCTTCTCTCTCTGCTATTTGACATGTCTACAACTTCTTAATATTTAGTTGCACCATACTGAGATTTACTTGTCTGTGAAGGTGGTTCCCCCTTTGTAGTGATGAAGGGTAATGAAATGGTCAAATACACCTTGTCTATTGAAGCCCTTATGTTTTAATTTGGTCTGCAACTAATGGCTGATTTCATCACTGATTTATTATTTGTATCATATTTCTTTAAACTAATCACTTAACTATTTAGTCCGTAACAAGTGGAAAAGCAGTATAAAATGCCCATCAAAAGTTCCCACATCCCAATATGTTGTCTGCAAATAATTAAAATTCTGACCAGCAGTCCAAAACCCAAAGAAGCTCAATAAATCGTCATATAATGATAATTAATGACGTCATTAAAAGCTGGTAGTAGTGCTTTTTTGTTGTGCTTGATAAATAACATATAAATCAGTTATAAAAATGAACAATGATTCATTTTCTGTCAATCGACCAATTGCAAAATCAACTAATCGTTCCAGCACTGCATGGCTTTGTGTATTGGCTTTTAGTAACAGGTCTTTACACACTCTAGGTGTGTGTATTTAGGAAAGTGGCATCCTTTCAAGACTAACTCCTAGTCCTTTTGTGTTGTATTATACAGAAATGGCTCAGATTACGTAACCTCCCTTTTATTGATTACCCTGCAGTCTCAGTCAGTCATGTTCTTTAAACTCACGCAGAGCGTCTCAGGTCAGATCCAGCAGAAACAGGAAGGTAAAACACGCTGGGTTCACAGTCTGACAATCACTGACTTGTGTATTGTTTGTTGGCACTTGGGTCCTAAGTGGCCTGTTAATAAGTCATTATCAGTCTGTTAGCAGCCTGTCTAATAAACAGCCTCTCACAGACAGAGTTTGCTGACTGGTGCCAGACAGCAGTGTTGGCTCATGTAAAGTAAATGACATGAAGCACTTTAAGTATAAAGCACAGTCTCGCTGTTTTTGTAAATTCACCGCTCGTTTCTTGATTTCTCTCTCCCCTATATGCCAATCATTCGGTTCCGACTTACTAAAATGTATGGCTAAAATGAAACAATTTTGTCAATGAAGCATTCACTAATCAGCTTTCAAATGTGAGAACTTCTGTGTTTCACATCACTGTAAAATGAATTATTTTGGTCATATAAACAAGTAATTTGAAGGCAACTAGTTGGGCATATTTCACTTTTTTTTGCCATCTATGAAGGCATTAATCAGAATAAAATCATACTGAAAGTAATTGTTCGTTGCTTCCTATCTCCCCCCTAGCAAACCGACCTAAACTCCTTCCTGTGGACGATCAAACGTGACCCTCCCTCATATTTCTATGGTACAATCCACGTTCCCTACACGCGCGTTTGGGACTTCATCCCTGAAAACTCCAAGCAGGCCTTCCAGGAGAGCAACATCGTCTACTTTGAGCTGGACCTGACGGACCCTTACACCATCTCAGCCCTGACCAGCTGCCAGCTGCTCCCTCAGGGCGAGAACCTGCAGGATGTCCTGCCCAGAGACATCTATCGGAGACTCAAAAGACACCTAGAGTATGTAAAACTCATGATGCCTTCATGGATGACCCCGGATCAGAGAGGGAAGGGGCTCTACGCTGATTACCTCTTCAACGCCATCGCCGGGAACTGGGAGAGGAAGCGGCCCGTTTGGGTGATGCTGATGGTGAATTCGTTAACTGAGGCAGATATCAAGACACGTGGGGTGCCGGTGCTGGACTTATACCTGGCCCAGGAGGCGGAGAGGATGCGAAAGAGGACGGGGGCTGTCGAGAAGGTGGAGGAGCAGTGCCATCCACTCAACGGGCTCAACTTCTCCCAGGTGAGTTTGAAACAGTACTGGCTGCGGCGCACTGACTGTTTTACCATTTCAACCGGTCGGCAGTGTAGAAATGCATGATTCAGTCGGTCCGTCTGATACTTGAAAACTTATAGCTGCTTTTTCTTCATCTATTTCACTCACCGGCATTGTCAAGATATGCGTCATTGCAGTTTAACAGTCCAGAAACTGTTGGCATTCGTTCGAGGGATAATCCGTTGAGAATCATCACTTTTTTTTTACATACTTTCTGAAAGAAAATCTACTTTTGACCACCAATTTTCGATGTTGGTGGGTGGGGAGCATATTCCAGGCAGAATAAGCCTTACAAAGAACAGTTGTCATTATGTAATTTGTTCGTCGACATGAAACCACCAAATGACCAGTGCTCGCTTGAAATGTATTATACCTATCACATGAGTTACTATTACAATTTAGTTCTTATAAATAGGCCTGTAGATGTTTCTGCTCTTTCATTTCTTGGCAGGGGAAAGGATACTCAAAGATTTACAGCAATTGTCCTCAGCTGTTCCTCCCTCCTGGTACTGGTCAATACTCTGGGCGTGCTCAAGATCCATATTTATGCTGTCTAGTCCAGTTGTCTCCTTTCTCATCTGCAATCCTATCAGTTAAAATGTGTGTCCTCCTGCACTGTTTTTCAATGTAGTGCAGCAGTAACCCATGAATTCCCTGCTCTGAATTCAGTATGTTGTTTTCATAAAACTCCAGGCTATAATTAACATTTAAACAAGCCTGAAAAGGATCTTTCGGTTTGTGAATTTATGTGTAACTACATCTTTACATTAGCTTTCACACATCTTAACCACTTCCACACAGAGAGGGTAAGAGATTTTACATTTGGGAAAAAAGAGCACTGATATCAGATTGGCATCTGGTATTGGCTGATTGAAGAATAAGCATTGGTGCAACCCTTCGTGCAGCTAGTGTGTGTGTTACAGGTGTCAGGGTTGCTATGTGACGCAGCTGGTGGGTCTACCCTTAACACTTTTTTAGATTTGTTTCGGTGAACTCAATGCCAAATCTACTCGGCTACACATTTCCTAAAATTCACAAGCACCAAGATGTGTAATACAAAAGGCCAGATGTATAGATTAACGTTCATTTTATTTTCATAACAGAGGCCTTTAGTTTGGTCTTTTCCGCTCTATGCCATAGCGTAGTCCAGTGGAGAAAGGTGTGGTGTTAATAATCAGCTGTACAAACATTCAGCCGTGCTCCGCCGCGTTCTTTGTTATTAAAGAAAAATGGATCCTAATGACTCAAGTCTGAAATTACCAGGAAAAAAAGGGAACCAGCACACTTAAGTCCCCTTGTCTGCCTGTCTGTCTGCGCCCCTCTATGACCCTTTCAGTATTACAAACATTTCGTAACGGCAGCAGTCACTATGAAATCATGTTGTGTATTATCGAGGAATTTCTGTTAATGCTGGTCAGGAGCTAAGGGGATTACACTTGACCACTTACCCTAACACCCAGAAGCTTTGAGTGTTGTTATTTTAAAGCAGGCCTTGTTGGCCCTTCAGGCATAAAGTCTCTGCCAAAAACCACCCAGCTGCACTTTTATTAGCCATCTCTTGAGTTGTAGATGAAGAATGGGGCAATGTTTATGTCATGATGAACACATAGAGTTAACAATCGCAAGGAGTGAAGATTTTATTCTCTGACTGTCTGAGATGAGATGATACAACTTAGCTTGCGCCCTCACTTCTGCTGAGGAAGCATATTCACACGGTGAACAGTGAAGTCATTACTGCGCAGATCCTCGCACACTTTTCTCATTCATGGCAGATCAGATGCAACAATTTCTTGTGTTATTTTAATTCAGTCGAGGTTTCCTGGGTGAGATTGTCGTCACCAGAAATACTACAACCTTTTTCTTTGGTTGTGCAAAAAAAGGACGGTTCTTTCCTCAGAAGCAAACGCAGGTGATGTTGTTATAGAAAGCATCTGACTGACATTTGAGGGCAGGGTTTGCGTCACGTTTTCTTTGTTGGTTTCTTCTGAAGCTGGATTTATGCTAATAAGTTCCCAACATAAGTACCTATGGCACAGGTTGTCCAGTGTCAGATTCCCCGCATTGATATAATCCCCATCATAACTGTTTGACTTCACTTTGCGGGCTACACACGTAGGCACAAATTGCATCCTGGTAACTTTTTCCTTGTCTGGTCACTAAATAGGAGACTGCTCCCGTGACTTGTAGGAGAAAATAACAAGCAGCCAATCACAGTTCTGGAGGTCCCCATGTGGTACCTCTGTAGCCCCCCGTACGTCAGCTATGGCGTACCTCCAGAGCCTATGCACATAGCAGCCATAGCTAGAGTCAGGGTGACCACTAACCTAAAGTAGGAGGCCATCATGAATCATTTTCATAATGGTCATATTGGTCTCTTGGAAGACATTGTCAAACCATTCAGGTGTTTAAACATGGGGTCCAGTTGTTATGCATATCACAGAAAGAAAGTCGGTGGCTGAAATTGGGTTTGTCAACAGGTCTATAAAGAGAGAGAAACCTCCCATCATCACAGCTTTCATTGAATTATATCCACAAAGCCTCCAGAGGGCTGAACAATGGAATCTAGTGTCCCAGAAACCACCTACCCCGACACTGGACCAGCACAGCACACAGCCTGGCACTCCATAATGTCCACACTTGGTTTCAATCCAATCAACAGTAGCTTGATGGATGCCTTAACCGGGCTGGCGTGAAGCAGACCGGTTGAGATTTCAGTCAACATGTTCTTCCACAGTTCTCGTTTAAAGCCTTTTAGCGCAACTCAAGTGTAAGATGTCCAGATAGAGTGTGATGAGTGAGATACGCTCTTGGTGAAACAAAGCTGCTTCCTCAGACGCCATTCTTGACTGAAAATACTGTTTAATGAGGCTACAACTAGAGAACCATATCTACGGTCTGTAATAGCCTCCGTAATGTTTTCACTGGCCATTTACATCTGGCATGAAACAGAGTTCAGAGGAAAGTGGAAGGCAAATGGAAAATTTAATATTTCATGTGTTAAAATTTGGAAAAATATTCTCTCCTTGCTATGATTTCCACAGCGTGGTGGCTGTTCTGGGGTCATATGGCAGTCTAGTCCCGAAGAAGTTTGAGGTGATAATATTACCTCTATAGCACAGTTTGAATAGTCGTCCGTGAGGTTTAGGAGTTGCTGAAGGACCCTTTTGATCTCACAGAGGCATTTGAGAAATTGGTCAGCAGAGTTGAGCCTCCAGCTTGTTAATATAAACCTAAAATTCAGTCTGATGGTTAAAACGATTGCCACGCTCATTTCATATTTGGCCTTTAGTGTAAGACGTAATTCGCATTTTCTCTAAAACTTAATAAGCCTAATATTATGTTTCATTATTGTGTAATCATTTCCTCTGACAATAGCAGAGGTGCTCTTTATTTTTATAATGCAGAGCGCCTACACTATAAAATATATATATATACAATATATATATATAATATATATATATAAATAATATAATAATATTCATTATGTTCATCTCTACTATGATTAAAATGCAATTAAATAAAGATCGGCTGAACTGATTATTGTTATATGTTGATACTTAAGTGCCTAACATCCGTTAGATTGATAGGCTATAAGAAAGCTTAATGCGTTTAAAAAATAAGGTGCTGTTTTTTCATCTTTTAAGTGATGTGTCCAGTTTTGCCTGCCACTATAAATTAAGCCCATTGAGCTCATTATTTTCAAACCACAATGAATTATACTTTCTAAACTCAGATCCCTAATCTGGCTAAGCATGACTGCTCTTATTCTTGCACGGTGCCCCTCGTCTTTTGAAGAGCATGGCTCAGCCTTGCCCATTACACTAAGTGAGCTTGTTGAGTACAACAATGGCCGTATGAAGGCCGGCTTTCTCTGTCACTGTTGTTGGAAACCCGCGGGACATTCCACACCTCAGTGGAGCAGACCTGCTAATGAAGGTGTTGTTTCTTTCCTCCCATCACTGGGAGTAATGGTGCATGGAGAGGTGATGAATGCAGGTCTCAGTGTACGTCTATGAGAACAGGGAAGGAATGTTTGAAGCCCATTTGGTTCATTCATGACGAGGAGGGACTGGAACAGGGAGAGTTGAGATGTAGACTGAGATCAGTAGAAGAGCCATTAAGGAAGGAAGGCGTGACTCCGTCTCCATTAAAGGTATCATGACGTTACCTTTGTTTGACAGCCTTGTAACTTCAGTTGTGATGTTTCCTTCGACTACAGGTCTCTGGATTTGCTGGGCTTCAAAGAGGCAAGGTCTGATGTAATCCAAACAAAACCCACTTCTATAACCTTATTTTAACACAGTTATTGTATTTTCCCGCCTGTCTAATTTAGACATCAAGCCCATATCAAACTTGAACTTCAGTTCACATCTCCTTACATAACACCTTTCAAGATTTGGGGTTAAAGGTTTTTTTTAACAGATCATCTTGTACAAATAATATACTGTGAACACAGGGAAATGAAGTCTGTTCTCAGTTAAAGCAGAGCTCTCTTGGTTAGTGGATGTAAACTTTAAATTGAAAAAAATCAAAGTACGGTTTGTTCTTGAATCAGTAGATTTGTGGGAAAATGTCTCGTACCATAAATCCAGTCTGAGAGGTCACATGAGAGCAGACGTTTCACTCTGTACCAAAGCTCATTGGACAGGAGAGACGATGTCACAACGTGTGAGCATCCCAAAACTCCCACACCCTGCGCTGTCCCGATGGTTTAGACTGCTAAGTGTGTTGGTTATATGTACGTGCTCGACTTCCTGGACAGTACAATGGCTGTCCTTATTTTCCAGCCCGGCATGGGTAGCGCTTTGGGCAAGCTGCCACTGAGGAAAAATCTGTCTCAATCACCTCTGTAATAAGATTAGACGGCAAAATGAGAATGATGATGATAATGATGATGAGTAGGAGTGGGAAGCTTTGGGAATCCTACCATTGGATTCTATTCTGATTCCTGGTGTCACAATTACATC